CCTGCCGCAAAGGTGACATCACAACCTTCGGCGCTGGCGACACGAAATTAAGCAGCAGCGGCGAATGCTGCTTGACTGGCGTCTACTACTACGTGTAGTTGAATTGACACCGCAGCTTGAAGATGAGGCGAATACCAACGCCTGACTTGCACATTACTAACGTGTCTGAGCTCACTCCACCAGGCAAACCATTTGTGATTTAAACTATTCGGGATCACTTCGTCCCACTCGATGGAACTCTTCCATACCTCTTGAACTAATAGTTTGGCAAACAGTAGAAAGTCGGCGAGTATGCCAAACGGATCGAACACTGACATAAGTATGCTGAGAAGTTCGCGCTTAGTTGTTGGACGAACTCCTTCTAATACGGCTTTAGAAACCCGGTGAAAATTGAGCTGAAACTCAAAGGAATCTGTCACCGTGTTCCAACGCATTCCTAATACCTTCTCGTAGTTCGCACAGCCTTCTAAGTTGACAGACTGTGACGTTGTTGGCTCTAAATTCAGGCTATCTTGCAGCTGTTTGATGTTTGAGACAAATGATCGCAGTTGGAACCCCCCATCCGAATGATATACACGACCTCCCTGCAAATGCGTTCGGCGTCTCGCTCGTTCTTAAAACTAGCGTCAAAATCGTCGACATAGTGACTCTGGACTATGGCTGTAACGGCTTCGGGATACTGTTGACGAAATTCTTCGGCGTTTTTATTTTTCACAAATTCTGCTATGCACGGCGAGCATATGGCTCCGAAGACCATTGACTGCATTACGCAGTGTTCCACTGGACGATCACTGTTTCCATCACGCCATAGGAATCTTTGAGTATGTTGATCTCGCTCTTTTACAACAACTTGAGAATACATCTCACGAATATCTGCTGCGACTGCAACAGCGCCTTCGCGAAACTTAAATAAAATGTTCAATAATGGCTTGGCGTGCTCAGGTCCATTGAGCAAAGCGGAGTTCAATGCTACGCCATTGACTTGGGCGGCTGCATCGAACACATACACACATCGTCGGACAGCTTTCTGGCATAACCATTGCGCATATATTTGGTGATTTCCTCCTTATACTTGGCGGCAAAACTGAAATCGACTCTCATTTTACGTTCTATTCCTAACAGTCGCTTGTAGACCATGTCGTAACTGTTAGGAAGTGCTGGTGGAATGCTTCTCCACAGAAGTACGCTCTCAAAACGCTTACCCACGCGGCGAGTGTTGTATTCCAGCATCTGGCGGGCCATCTGATCCTCCTCAGACTCAATCTGCTTGAGCGACTCACCTACTCCAAAGTTGTCGGCGGCAAAATATTCGGTGACAAGTTCATTTAGTGTGGCTGGGCGCTTTCGCTCGCGGACATGTAGTACGATTGGTGTTTGTGGCGACAAACTGGTTGGGCCGTAAGCTATCCAACCAAGTTTGGTACAAATGGCTACTGGGCTTTGACTGTTGGCTTGTACAGTCGTAGACGGCACGCTTAACGACGTATTATCAAGGCCCAACAGCAACGACGGCTTGACTTGGCTGTAGTCCTCTGTCGGCAAAAACTCAAAGTGGGCATAATCGGCTTTTGTAAACGACTGCGCTGGCAAATCAAGGCTACGTAGGGTGCATACGTTGCGCACACTGTATGTTGATGGCGAACCTTTGCCTTGGAACGTAGCTTTGCCTACGCCGCAATAACATATTCAACATCACCCTAGCATACGTCTTACAACTGCACA